TGGAAATCAAAATGACCCTGAGATTTCACCTTACACCTATCAGAATTGCTAAGATCAAAAACTCAAGTCACAACAAATGCTAGACAGGGTTTTGAGAAAGGGGAACCCTCCTCTATTGCTGGTGGGAATATCAACTTTTATAATGACTTTGGAAATCAATCTGGTGCTTTCTCAGACAATAAGGAATAGTGCTACCTCAAGATCTATAGCATTCCTAGGCATGTATCTAAAATATGCTCAAGTATATAAGAAGGACATTTGCTGAACCGTAATTGTGGCAACATTATTTTTAAGAGCCAGAATCTGTAAACAACCCAGATGTCCCTCAACTGAGGAATGGATACAGAAATTGTGGTATTTTACACAATGGAACACTACTCAGCAATTAAAAACATGGAAATTATGAAAATTGCAGGCAAATTGTGGGAATTAGAAAAGATCATCCCGAGTGAGGTACCCAGAAGATAAAAGACACACATGGGATCTACTCACTTATAAGTGACCATGGGAAACAATGCTTCTTTATTTAGTTACATTAAAAGTTATAGAATCTCAAAAAAAATAAAGTGTTTGTTATTCTGAAAAAAAGTGTATATTAGACATATAATATAGGATAATCATACTAAAATTTATACACCTATAGAAGCTAAGCAAGAAGGAGGACCCCGGGTAAAATGCTCAATCCTCATTCAGAAAGGCAAATGGGATAGACATCGGAAGAGGATGAAAACAAGGAAAAAGACAGGAGCCTACCACATAGGGCCTCTGAAAGACTCTATCCAGCAGGGTATTAAAGCAGGTGCTGAGAACTCATAGCCAAACTTTGATCAAAGTAAAGGGAATCCTATGAAAGAAGAGGGAGATAGAAAGATTAAGAGGGGACAGTAGCTCCAAAAGGAGACGAACAGAACCAAAAATTCTGGGCCCAGTGGTCTTTGATGAGACTGATACTCCAACAAAGGAAAATTCATGGAGATAACCTAGAATCCCTGCACAGATGTAGCCCAAGGCAGCTCAATCTCCAAATGAGCTTCCTAGTAAGAGGAACATTGGGTGTATCTAACATGATCTTAGTGGTTGGCTCTTTGATTACTTTCCCCTGAGGGAAGGAGGCAGCCTTACTAGGCCACAGAGGAATGCATAGTAGCCAGTCCTGATGACACCTGATAGGCTAGGGTCAGATGGAAGGGGAGGAGAACCTCCCCTATCAGTGGACTGGGGAAGGGGCATGGGTGGATAAGAGGGAGGGAGAGCAGGATTGGGAGGCGAGGATGGAAGGGGCTACAGCTAGGATACAAAGTGGATTAATTGTAATGAATAAATAAAAATTCTAAAAAATATTTGAAATTCACATAATCTGAACACAATAACAAAAATTTAATATTCTAGGTATAAAAAGCATAAGTAACCTGTAGAAATTCTTAAACAATGTAGAACATATTTTACTATTTAAAAAGCTTAACTAAAATTAAAATGAAGGATTAAAGGCAATGCATAATTATTTTCATAATTTAGCCATTTCTCAAAAATTTAAGTAATTTGTCTGATTTAATTTCCATGACCAAAACAGAACTGATCTCTCCAGTATGTCCTACTGGTCCCAAATATACACTCATCCATGAAATTCTTTATAATGATTTTGTCTGAGGTGGAAATTTCTATAAATCTATTGCTGCACTATAGAATTGGTATGATATAGTGCATTTTTTCATCCTACTGATGGGAATTTTAGTAGTACCAAGCATACACATGACATCCTAAAGTAAACAAGAAGTTGCTCATATTTTGTGTTTTATGGTAAATGTTGACCAAAATCATGTTGTGAATATGACAACTTATCATTTGGGTAATGTCTTGAAATGTTCAAATTATTCATGTATTTTCACTTAATAGAATTTTAACTAAAAACAACCCCATTACCACACAGAGGTTCTAAACAGGTCATATAAAATAAAAGGTCTCAAGCATATAAAGGTATGTTACCTGCAGATTTAAAAAAAAAAAAAACTTTAGAGAAAGAAGAGGAGGAGAAGAAAACACACCCAAGAGGAGTAGATGGCAGAATATAATCAAACACAAAGCTGGAATCAATAAATTAGAAATAAAACAACAACAAAAAAAACAATGCAAAGAATCAATAAAACCAAGAACTGGTTCTTTGAGGAAATCAAAAAGATAGTCAAACCTTTAACCAAAATAGTTAAAAGGCAAAAAGAGAGTATCCAAATCAATGAAATCAGAAATGAAAAGAGAACCATAACAACAGACATTGAGAAAATTCAATGGATCATTAGGTCTCCTTTCAAAAGGCTGTGCTTCACAAAATTGAAAAATAAAAATAAAATGGACAATATTCTTGAAAAATTCCACTTAGAAAAGTTAAATCAAGATCAGGTAAAAATGTGAATAGTCCTATAACCCAAAAGGATATAGAAGCAGACATTAAAAATCTCCAATTCAAAAAGAGCCCAGGGCCAGTACCTGTCATGGCAGTAGTCTACCAGACTTTCACGGAAGAGCCAATACCAATACTCCACAAATTATTCCACAAAATAGAAACAGAAAGAACATTGCCAAACTCATTCTATGATGTCATAGTTACCCTGACACCTAAACTACACAAAGAAACAAGAAAGAAAGAAAAATTCAGACCAATTTCCCTTATGAACATTGATACAAATATACACAAGAAAATACTTGCAAATAGAACCTAAGAACTCATCAAAATATCATCCATCATGATCAAGTAGTATTCAGTGCAGGAATCCAGGGATGGATCAATATATGAAAATCCATCAACATAATCTACCATATAAGCAAACTGAAAGAAAATATCTCATGATCATCTCATTAGATGCAAAAAAAAAAAAAAATCATTCCACAAAATCCAACACCCCTTCATATTAAAAGTCTTGAAAGGATTAGGGATACAAGACCTTACCTAAACACAATAAAGGCAATATACAGCAAGGCTATAGCCAACAAGTTAAATGGAGAGATACTTAAAACAATTTCACTGATATAAGGGACAAGACAAGGCTGCCTACTCTCATGTTATCTCTTCAATATAGTACTTGAAGGCCTAGCCACAGCAATAAGACAACTAAAGGAGGTCAGGAAGATACAAATTGAAAAGAAAGAAGTCAAAGTATTGATATTTGCAGATGATATGACAGTATACTTAAGTGACCCAAAAAATTCCACCAGAGAACACTTACAGATGATAAACACCTTCAGCAAAGTGGATAGATACAAAGTTAATTCAAATCACTCAGTAGCCCTGCTGTATGCGAAAAAAACAAACAGGCCAAGAGAGAAAATAATTACACCTTTCACAATAGTTGCGAATAATACAAAGTAACTCTAACCAAGCAAGTCAAAGACCTGTTTGACAAAAACTTCAAGTCTCTGAAGAAATTACAGAGAGAGCAGAATGGAAAGGTATCCCATGCTCACGGATTGTTAGAATTAACAGAGTGAAGATGGCATCTTATCAAAAGCAACCTGCAGATTCAGTGCAAACCTCATCAAAACTCCAGCATATTACTTTAATACCTTGAACAATTCTATTCTTTATATTGAAAAACAAGAAAACACAGAATAGCAAACAACAGTCCTCTACAATAAAAGAACTTCTGGAGGTATCTCCATCCCTGACTTAAAGCTATGCTGTAGAGCAGTAATAAAACTGATGGTGTTGACATAGAAACAGAATGGTGATCACTGATACCAAAACAAAGATCCAGAAATAAACTCACGCACCGAGTTTATTTGCCTTTTGACAAAGGTGCCAAAAGCATACTATGCAAAAAAGAGAGCATCTTCAACGAATTGTTATGGTCTAAAAGGATGTCTACATAGAAAAATACAAATAGTTTTCTTGGTCTCCTTGTGTGGCTCTTGTCCCCTCCGGGTCTTTTTATATCCCCCTTCTTCCATAAGACTCCCTGTGCTCTGTCTAAAGTTTAGCTGTGAGGCTCTGCACTCCCCCTGAGTGGAGTCTTTTAGAGGACATCTGTGGTAGGCTCCAGTCCTGTTTCTTCTACTTCTTTTGGTGTTTATCCTGTTTTCCCTTGTGAATGAGAATTAAGCATATTCGATAGAGTCCTCCTTGACATTTAACCTCTTTAGTCTAGGGGGGACTACAGAGACTGATGAATCAACCAAGACCATACATAGAAATGACCTAGATTCCCTGATCAAATGTAGACCATAGACAGCTCAGTCTCTATGTGGGTTCCCTAGTAAAGGAGAAGAGACAGTCTTTGACATGAACTCAGTTGCCTGCTCCTTAATCACTTCTTCCTAGTGGGGCTACCTAGCCAGCCCAGAGAGGAAGAGGATCCAGGCAGTCCAGATGGGACCTGATAGGCTAGTGTCAGACAGTAGGGGAGGGGCATTGCCCCAATCAGTGGACTAGGGAAGAGGGAATGGGGAGGAAGAGGGAAGGAGTTTGGGACAGTGAGGGGATGACGGAGGGAGCTACAACTGGAATACAAAGAGAATAAATTATAAATAATAACGTAATAATAATAACTTTTCCAAAAGAAAAATACAAATAAAACCTCATTCATCACCCTGCACAAAACTCAAGTCCAAGTGGATCAAAGACCTCAACATTAAAACCAGATACACTAAATCTACTAAAAGAGAAAGTGGGGAAGAGCCTTCAACTCATTGGCACAGGAAAAAAAACTTCCTGAAAAGAACAGCGACAGCTCAGGCTCTAAGATCTACAATTAATAAATGGGACCTCTTGAAACCAAAATGCTTCTGTAAGGCAAAGGGCAGTCAATAGAACAAAATGGCAGTCTGCAGACTGGATCTTCCCCAATCCTACATCTGACAAAGGGTTAATATCCAAAATATACAAAGGACTCAAGAAACTGAAAACCGACAAACGAAATAATCCAGTGCTCTATCCACAAATCTGTTGTCAGTACACTTCAATTATTTCAATACGAATACATGAATAACATACATATAAAAAATACACTTACTGCAACTTCCCAAGACAAAAGCTCCACCATGCAAGTAAATGATAGCTGGTCTCAGTATTTCAGACTTCTTTTTTGGCAAGTACAGACGAACAGGAATGTCACTAAAGTTTGTGTCAATCACTGTTATGTTTTCATCTGAAACTGGTTTTGTAAGGAAAACTGATAATAAAGTTAAAATTGTGTCTTCATACTTCATGAGACCCATTTCTTCAAATAATGTGGCCTATAAATAGACAAAATTTGAAACATTATACATTTTAATTTTGTATAAATGTATTTATTTTATATTAATTTTATATATTATATATTAATTTTATTCAGTTTGTATCCCAGATGAAGCCCCCACCCCTCATCCCCTCCCACTACTACCCACCCTCCTTCTTCTCTCATAACCCTCCCATATTCCACTGGTAGGGGAGGTCCTCCTCCTTTTCCATAGATCATAGTCTTTGCGGTCTCATCGGGACTAGATGCATTGTCTTCCTCTGTGGCCTGGAAAAAGCTGTTCCTCCCTCAGGGGTTGGTGATCAAAGAGACAGCCACTGAGATCTTGTCAGAGACAGTCTCTGTTCTCATTACTAGGGAACAAGAACACTGAGCTGCCATGGACTACATCTGTTCAGGGGTTCTAGGTTATCTCCATGAATTGTCCTTGGTTGGAGTATCCGTCTCAGAAAAGACCACTGGGCTCAGATTTATCGGTTCTGTTGGTCTCCTTTTGGAGTTCCTGTCCTGCCCAAGTCTTTCTATCTCCCCCTTCTTTCATAGGATACCCTGCACTTTGCCCAAAGTTTGGCTATGAATCTCAGCATCTCCTTTGATTCCCTGCAGGGTAGTTACGTTTACACAATGGAATATTACTCAGCAATTAAAAAGAAGGAAATCATGAAATTTGCAGCAAATGATGGAACTAGAAAAGATCATTCTGAGTGAGGTACCCCAGAAGCATAAAGATACACATAGTTTATACTCACTTATAAGTGAGTATTAGACATATAATATAGGATAATCATACTAAAATATGTACACCTAAAGAATCTAAGCAAGAAGGAGGACCCTGGTTAAGATGCTCAATCCTCCTTCAGAAAGGCAAATGAAATGGACATTGAAAGAAGGAGAAAACAGGGCACAAGATAGGAGCCTACCACAGAAGGCCCCTGAAAGACTCTCTAAATTTTTATTTTAACAAAGACGAATGTAAAAGATTGAATGATAATAAAATAAACCATGTAATAATATTCTAAATTTTTATAACCTAACGTATTTTGGAAGCATGAAAATCTCAGCATGGGTATCTGACTTAGACCTAAACAAAATTGTGTCTGTCAACAATTCATCATGGATAATCCCATCCCTTCCTGAGAAAATATAGTTAGTTATTGGTTGATGAGAAATGAGTAGTCATTTTTTCATAGCTGTTAATGTGTTACCCTTTCTATAGTAAATAATCTTCCAATGCTCAAGAAAGAAATTTATTAAATCATTGGATGGCACAAAAGCATGAAGAGAAGAAGACCTAATTGCTGAGAATTGGATTCTAGTAGGCACAGAAAGAGAATTCATCAGGTAAATGCATAAAACTGTCAAACAAACAATAAATAAATGCTTGGAGATGTTAATCTGTTATTGACCTAGAAACTTCATCTATATTTGCTACCTTTTATAAGTTGGCAGTTGCTATGCATATTACCAGAGGAAGAAAGTAAAAGCTAATCTTGCCCACCTGTGAAAGCTATGATTTACAATCACTACTGGACTACCAAGACTCACCCATTGTTTCAACAGAGATTTGAACATGATGGGAGAAAACAATGGCATTCTTATTGGATTTAAGTCCCTTTCTATGAGACAAAACTCATACCTGGCACCATTGTTGGGTCATGAATCTTTGAATAAGTAGGTCATAGGCCATAAAAGGAGAACTTACTACTGCCACTCTATTAAATGTACGTAGAATTAAATTGACTCCTATTGACTTATTGTTATAGCCATAGATTAAGGCATCTCTCAATCCTCACCAGAGAAGCTTCTGTTTGTAGTAGATTGTGATTAACACACAGATGCAAAATGGACCAAGGTGTGGAATAAGAGACTACTGAATACTCAACTCTAAATGAAACACCTATACTGCCTTCTCTCCTGCCAAAGCTCAGAGATCACTTCAGACAAGGAGACTGAGAGGCTACATAGGCCAGAGATATTGAATGAATACAAAGAAACAGTGTCCTCCTGACACAACAGGACAGTTGTTGCTCACAGCTGACACTATCAACTCAGTGGTTGTGACAGCAGGAACAAGATCTGTGCAAGTCCAAACAAGAGCAATGCCTGCTGTGTAGAAAAAAGTTGGTCACAAAATGCCATCCTTAGCTGAGGATCTACTGACAATTTATGGCAGGTGGGACAAGGAGAGTCAATTTTCTTTTCCTTTTTTTTTGCATTAGATTTTTTATATCTTATTATCATTTATTACATTCTATTCAATTTGTATTCAGGCTGTGGCCCCTCCCTCATTTCCTCCCAATCCTACCCACCCTCAGTCTTCTTCCCATATACCCCTCCCATCAAACTCAGAGACAGGCTCTATGATCACCAACACCTAAAGGGTGCAGCCTTGCCAGGACACAGAGGAAGACAATGCAACAAGTCTGATTTCATTAAGAGTACAATGCAGCCACTTTTGATGAGAACTGATAGACTAAGATCAGAAAGAAGAGGAGAACCTCCCCTATCAGTGGACTTGGGGAGTGGCATGCATGCAGAAAGGGGAGGAAGGGTGAGATCGGCAGGGGAGGAGGGAGGGGCTTATGGGGGGATACAAAATGAATAAAGTGTAATTAATAAAAAAATGAGGTATAAAGCTGAACAGAACAAATAAAAAAGAGTGTATTTCTTGGCATATCAAGTGAATGGTCACATGCTGAAGGAAAAGTATATAGGAAGTGCAGATTAGAATAGATTAATGAGGGAAAAGAAGAAATACACAAATTTTTATAAGGAAATACGGGTAAATCTGGAAGGAGTTTCAGGAGGGGTAAATATGGTCAGAAGTCATTATATACAATTCCCAAATAACTAATTTAAAAGGAAAAGCAGTAAATGCAAATAAATAATTAAATAATTTGAAAAATATTAAATATTCAAAAAATAATATGAAAAAATAAAAATGCTAAGCATTCAGTGATAAAAATTATCTGAAGTGACATCCTATGTCTGTTCAAATATTTTCATCTTCTCTCGTTGACTGGCCATTCATTTTGGTGTTGGACATTGGTGTGTGTGTGTGCGTGTGTGCACGCATGCTTGTAAACATGTCAACCATATGTGCTTATGGAAGTCAGGTATAAACTGCAGTGTTGGTCCTCAGCTTTTAACCTTGTTCAAGTCAGCTTCAATCGTTCCTACTGTGTATTCCGATGTTTCTAACCCTGGGGCTTGAGATTCTCCTGTCTTCATTTCCTCTCCCACTGGCAGAGATGCATGCTACTGTATCCCGCTGTCTCTGAATTCTGGAGGCAGAGCGCAGATCCTCATGCCTGATCAACAAGGGTTTTACCCACTATGCTGTCTGCATTGTTTCTAGTTTCATTTAAATGTTTTAAAATGTCTTAAGTTACTCTGTAATAATAATATTTCATGTTCCCATTTGCATCTACAAAACAGTTTCTTTTTCTTAAAATCACTTGAAGGAAAACTTGAAGGAAAAATACTCTTTAGCTTTTTTGGTAAGTTATCTAAGACATTACTGAATAATTTCAGTTAAATCATTGTATAATTTTTATGTGACTAGAATATTCCATAGTATATGATTTTGTGTACAAATGTTACACCCGTGTATAATGCTATGAGTACGGACTCAAGAATCTTCCATGTCTGATCACCAGTACACAGATAGAAATTAGAAGAACAATGTGAAATACCATTTGTCTAAGTCAGTGGTGCATGTGGTCTTCTCTATATAATAAGCTAATAAGTTATATATTTAAAAAAATAGAATAAAATTAAAATTCCAAGTACTAGAAGAATGTGACAAATAGGTGATCAACATGGCAGTTGTGTAAAAATAATGTTTGAGAAGTAACAGATGTTGTTGATAGTATCAGAGCGATTTTTGACACATTAAAGAAGTTTTTAAAAATAGTATAAAGTTTCAAATAAAACCACACATGCATGTATAAAAACATGTGCATTTGTATAAATATATATCTATTAAAATTTGTAACGTAGGCACTCTTCTTCAGTTCCAAACTAAAGAAGGTACTGTGTCTTGGAAACAAAACTTTTGTAAATACTTACTGTCTTTCTATGCTTAGAATTTAGAACTATTTCTCTTTTTGGCAAAAATGTCTTAGGACACTTTAGAAAGTGGCCATCTCACCATTCAAATTTCAATACAGAAATTTTGCAAAGTGATGGCCACTTACTAGTTCTGATATCAAACATAACTCTCCAGTATCTTTATTGTAACCAGCTTGGAAATTGTGTCTTAAGCCTTAAGAGAAAAGTAATGAGAGTTGGAGATGAATTATGACCCTAATCACATCAGGAAGTGAATGTTTTTATTACCTATTTTTATCCACCAATCTCCTAGAATACATTGCTTTCTGCTTTTCAAGCATTCTTTATTCCAGTAACAGGAATCTAAATGCAGCAAGCATTCTGTCACATGTATACCCTAGGTTTTAATGTCTTTATATGTACAAAGGTGGAGGATATGTGTATAGCTCATGACACTAACAAGAAAATCATAAAAGGGTAAAATAGACTTAAAGAATAAAGAAGAAAACAGTAATCAAATATATGTAAGCTGAAAGTATAATGGTGACTATTTGTGTGGGAAAGAAGAGGAGCAGGAGATGAAGAGTACAGAGAGGAGAGTGGTGAAAAACATTTAAAAAGTGTAAGGAAACATGTTACATTTTACTTTAATTAAAAATACCAAAGAGCAACCTCTTCCATTGCTAGTGGAACTGCAAACTTGTCCAACCACTTTAGAAATAAATACAGTGGTTTCATAGAATACTGAGAATATTTCTACCTCAAGATACAACTATACTATTCCTGGACATATACCCAGAATATGCTCCTTGATACCAAAAGGTTATTTGCTCAACTAGGTTCATAGAAGCTTTATTTTAATAGACAAAAGTTGCAAACAACCTAGATGCTCCACAACCAAAGAATGGATAAAGAAAATGAGGTACATTTACACAATTCAATACT